ATCGCCACTATGCGTGATCAAAAATCACCTCGTATGCAGCAGGGTGAAATCATTCGACACGGCATCTAACTGCCAATTATGGTAGCTCTCGAAGATAAAAATGAGGGGAGTCGTGAATGTCAAATTTTTCCAACGAAACGATTAATGGAAACTTTCATTCTTTCCAATTTGAAAAACAGACGGTTTTGAGCCTGCAAGCTGTTAGTAAAATACCTGTACTCTGATGTAGGCATGTTCAGTAATATAATTTCCTTAAGGCCCCTGCTCGCCTTCGCACGCAAAATAGAAAATGCTTGACACGATGATGCTTCCTAGCTAACACTCCTGAGATCTTATTCCATCAAGATAAAGCACGTTCTTAGTACGTATTTTGAGGATCTAATGTACTACCCACCAAACACAGAATCACATCACATGATTTGCAAATTTGTGACGACGCGCGCAAGGGTCGTTTCCTTATCTCAGGATCATACATTGGCAATCTATGCGAAATTGACAGATTTATGTAAATTCCATCTTCAGTGTAAACCACTGAGACAATTTGTAACTCAGGACTACGTGAAAACAGCCGTTTCTATTAATAACACCGTCCTATCTCAGCCATTAACACAAAAAATGGGACGTTAATTTCATCTGTCTTATACATTGTTCCATCTAGCGGATAACATTACGTAAAAATAGACCATATTGTTTTTTTCTGCGATAAGTAAAGAATGGCGTCCTCGAAAGGGCAGCGCTTACTTAGATGCTCCATACCTAAGCAATAGTGCAAGCGAGCGTAAAAATTTCAATAAGCACTAGGATACCTTTTTATCTGTAAGGTAAACCAATCAAATGTACCATCAACAGAAGAAGATGCGATCACTGAAAAAAGACATGCGTATGCCTCACACTATCCTACAGTTACCTGTGATAAAGGATTCTCGACAGAATCGCAAACGCCGGGAAAATATAATTATTGATCCAGTGATCGTGTCATTTTCAGCTGAACTGCTTCCTGGAACTCACATATCCACTTCTATTGGCAAAGTTATCATCACGTGAGCATAGTTCTCCTCTTGTACGTGCTTTTGCAATGGATTGTAAACGGGATGAGATTAACACAGCGCATTTAGGCCTAGGCAAGCGCAATTATTTGCCGCTTTATCAAATGCTTATCGCAAGGTAACGTAAGTTACAGTTAATTTAAATCTACTGGAGACGCACTTGAGCATCCTTGCAGGCGTGCGAAACATGCTCTATTATCCAGTAAATATAAATGCGTCCTTACAAATGTCCGTAACATAAAAGAGGGACGCCTGTGCTTAGTTTATGTTTGTTTAGTCACTCATTCTTGTTGCCTTTGCGACACCCCTCATTCCCGACTTTAGACGAATTTTCCCTGGTTCGAACTCTATACCGGCTGTCCGTTTTACCTTGTGTATTCAGTTTCAAACACTGGTGCAAATGAAATTGGAAGACTTGCAAGGTGAGGCCTTGCAGCTGAAAGAGGCACAGAAAACCCTGATTTGGTTTGCGACTGCCCTGAAGGGCAAACGTAAGAACCTTTTGAAGAAAGTGGAAAAGGCATCCAACAACCTACTATCCACCTGTAACAATGCCCTCTCGGTAGCCAAAGACACTTTGGATCAGACGGCAACGCAATGCAAGAAAAAGGTTGCAACTGTAATGAATGAGCGGAAGCTACTTAAGTTGGTAGTCAAATTACTTCAGGTTGTGAAGAATCCTGCC